CTCTTCGTGTGCGGGTCGCCCTTGCGGGGCCGACGCACACATCGAGGAAGTGTGTTTGAACCGTGCCAACAAAAAAAACTGCGCGCGGGCTTCCCCTGGGGACACGCCGAGACTCCCGCCCCGCGGGCTCGTCTTGACGGGCCCCCTGCGAGGGCGTTTCGCGGGAGCTCTGTGACCCTGGCCGTGTTGAACTCTGAGGGCTGATGGCGAAATAATGGTCACAATGAGAGTGATGCAACGGCGGACTGCATGCATAAATCCATTGGTGAATCCGTGATAGAAGCGGCGGTCCCGCGCCTTCCACTGGCCCGCAGCGGAAAACAGCACCTGCATTCTCCCTGCAACATGGAGAGGGAGAGAGAGAGAGAGAGAGAGATTGACAGGGACAGGGAAGGAGGAGGGCAGATGCCCTCACGCAAACGCCCCGAGACCATGGCGTGGTCGCGGGCTGGGGTCTCCGACGGAACTGTCGTCGCCGACGCCATGTCCGTCCGTCGGAGCCAACGCATCTTCCGGAGCCGGCACTGGAGCGTTAGTTGGACGAGGAGTCGAAGCTGGAGTCCGAGCGGGTGACGGAGCCGCCCCTCGTCGAAGCCAGACCTTCGAGCACCCACTGATTGCGAGATGTGCGTGGTCGCTTCCCCCGTGGGGCGCCCGCCGTGACTCCCGCCTGCGGGCTCAGTGCGGCGGGGCCCGTGTGGGCCTCAGCCGTGGTGGACGGCCCCAGGATTACGGGCTGGATTGCTGGATGCTGGTCTGCTGGCTGCTGGAAGGGGGTGGCCAGCGGGGGCGAAAGGGTGAGGGTGAGGGTGAGAATGACGGCCAGGGCGAAGGGGTGAGGGTGAGGGCGACGGCGAGGGGGTCACGGTGAGGGTCAGGGCAACGGAGAGGGACTGAGGGCGAGAGCGAGGGCGAGGATGGAGATGACGAGGACTAGGAAGAGGATAGGACTGGTAGAAGGCGAAAATGAGGATGATACTACTGACCGCAAAGAGAAGCGGTGCCTTTTGACAACCCAAGCCCACCAGGCAAGCATAGCTACCTCTGTGCAAAGTGTCCAGAGCAGGCTACCGCCTGCATGAGTCGAGGCCGAACTCGGGCAGTCAGATTCATTTGAACGCTTCTGCACATACTATCTTGATGTAACGGCTCGTTGCTCAATAGTAAACACACAAGCACAATAGCTACCCGCTTGCACCTTCCAACAGGGAAACACGAAACAAACGACTCGACAGGTACCCTGAGCACTGCCTGGGCCCCGACGCCCGCGGGAAAATAGATGGGACATCTGGAACGCTTGTGGTATCACAAGGGAAGAGTAACCACGACCATCGCTATCGAGGGTAGATGTGCAGAAGTAGCAAGACACGGTGGAACCAGGATAACGGGCACAGTGGTCCACGAAGTCTACGGATCGCTGGAACCCAGACGCCAAGCACGCTGGTATACGCTGGTACGCATGCGGCGATTCCGCAGACTGCAATCGAGCAGTGTGCGAATTGCCAAGCATGCTACCACGATGCCACCAACGAGGGAACCGCATGTAGACGTTATCTACGGTGTATCCCAAGGCTGCGAACCTCGAGAAAACGCTGGGTGGTGCGACCAAGCCTGTGCAGCCAGCTCTGGCAACGAACAGGAAACCACAGGCGGTGGAAGCAGTCAAATTAACGAACGCAGAAGTGCTATATGAACTTCCAAACGCAAGATCAGAAGTCAATCACCCAATCGGGCGCTTCCGATGGGAAAATATGTATAACATGTTTCCAAATCGATGGCCCAGCATGGTCAACTGGATGATCGTCTCGGCAATACCGGAAATCAGTGACTTGACTGCCCGTGCCACGTGCATGCAATAGGCGGCTGGATCTGCCCAAAACATCGGAATTCCCCCCGGTCGAACGAAACAGAACAGCAATGATACAAGAAAGAAGCAGGAGCACGATGTCGATTGGGTGGCGTTGTACGCGGTCGTCAAAAATTGCTGATCGAACCATATCCCCGAAAGAGCGCGAGAAGCAAATGCCGCGCAAACACAAAAAAAACGCGTTCGAACGCCCAACGGACTACAGTGACAGGTACAAGGCGAGCAAGCGCAGCAGTGGGTCTTTCGCCAGTGCAGACATGATCCCCGAGAGTGGCACTCTTGTTTGATGACTGACACCAGTTGACAACTGCCGCGCGGATGACGTCGCACGCATTTGGGTAGCATTACTGGCGACTGGCTGGAACTTACGATTGAACAATCGCTACGGATGTACTCAGATGGCGCAGCGTCACAAAGTAAATCTCAAAATCGCAGCGACATTACTAAACTGACAGAGTATAACGTCCACCAGCTGCGCAATAGTCAGAACCATCGATGCGTTCTTGGCGAACCTTCGCCGACAGACTGCACATCGGAGCCGCCGCATACCCCGGGGAACTCCTCACTGCAACACTAAC